AMSSMAAARGRRSCMAWTTTKRAARKTTTTWARGRAWTKKWAMCYWMSGKYCMAWWAWTTTTTTTTTTATCGACTCAATCTTATTAATATAATAATTTTTCAAATTGTGTAAAGCCTCCGATAGGCTCTGAGTGCTTGCCATGAAAAAGCTACTAACAAAACCCTTCAACGCTACAAAGTTGACTCAAAGTGTTAGGTGAAAGGAACTTTCGCAGTAAAATCATAGAGCGCATGGATGCTGGATACTCTTCTCCTTTGATGACGATGATCAAAAATTGGTTTAATGCATATCAAAAAATCGACGATAACTTATTGGCAGACCGCGTGAGTTATCCGCATGATATGTAGGCCATAAGAAAGCTGCCGGTTCCAGAACAAGGCTAATTGTACGACCAGTCAGCAGTGCTGTTAAAGCACAACCCGAAGGTGGTTTCAGCATCGTATTGCAACTGTCGACGATACATAGTTCCACTGATAGATACCTGAGACCAGGCCTTTCTGGTGTTTATGAGATTAGCTCTGCGTTGACTACCTAGATAAGTTAAAACGGTAACAATGTCTGCAATGTAARTTATTTGAAAAATCAAGCTGTCGAAGAAAAAAGTGCTCTGGACCATGTGAACTCATCACTCCACATTTTAAACTTTTTTGTGCTACCACATAATTCAAATATGGACTTTAAACTTTTTCTGACATTTGGATTTCAGGAATAAATAAATCCATATTACGTAATGGTATAGCCAGGAATTAGCTATATTGTAAATATAAGGTTTTGCCATTATGTTTTAAAAATCATTTCGAGCTGGTGACCGTTGCGGCTGGCTCGAATAAAACCCAGCCAAGGGACAAAATTTTCGAATGCGCCAAATATTTCTTCCAAKGTTTCAATAATCTCGAGCCTGTCTGCTTTAGACAAGCGACTTCAAATAACCATACAAAAAATACTCCAGCCATCTTAACAAAAATATCACAACCTTGATAGCCCGCCACAGGCCAACGACGCGAGATAATGCGTTCATCAAAAGTATCCTTCAATAATTTTATTGTTTCGTTGGCTGTTTGGTATATATCGCAGTCATAGGTCATTCACATCAACATCCTGGAATTCCGGCACAAAAAAGTAATTAATCATGGGCTCTACAACTTTCCACATTGACTGTAACATTGTGGTCGGTTTCAATTCCGATGAAAAATGTGCCAATGATTCACTGTGCCCATAGAATGGGCTCTCATCTACAACATATGAATTATAATCACTTCAAATACGACAAAAATGAGCTTCCTCGCTGAACMAACTTTTTTTGCGAAAAACGGCATTGGTTGCCGTATCGTGCGCCGTACCTGATCGTCGTTCGACTTCAAATCATGCACAAGTTGGATTTTATAAGCATATAAATCGAGATTCCTCCACAAAATCTTCCATAAAATGGATGAGCACAGATCCAATTGTTGCGTGCGATGACGGATATACTCATTCGGGTCTTGTTGGATACTTTGCTTCACAGCAACAATAACTTCCTCGGTGCGCACTGTATAGCGTCTTTAAGGATGCGCATTATCCACTAAAATAAACTTGGTGCGAAACTTATCTATGGTTTTTCGAATTACCGACTTTGCTGGGCGACTTTGTCGACCAAATATTGAACGAAACTAGTATCGCGCGAATCTAACCATTTTGTTTACGGAGTAAGTCGGTTCGCTATGAAATGGCAAGCTAAACTGATTATAAATCAAGTAACAGCTGTTAAAAGAACCAGCTCCGAAAAAGGTTTTGCCTTTTTGAAAACCACACGAATAAAAAAACATAATTTATTATAAGCTAAATGGTTATGAAGTAAAAAGTAGTAAATCAAAATTAATACCCAAATTATAATCATATAAAAATACTAAATACGTATAAATTAATTAGCTTACGAAAAATCAAATCGTCGTTAGTGCAAGTGAGCCCAAAGCCGAATAATAAAGCATTCAAATACGCTTATGATACTGAAAATGGACACGAGCTTCTCAGCTCGTTCTTTATAAATCAAACCTGTCTGGAACATTTAAATTAGGCAACTCACAACTGTTGCACGGTTTCACGAATTTCGTATCGCATTTGAATTCTTTGTTATCCAATCTTCTGATTAGTATTCAATTTGTGGGCGATTGTCGCTTTTTTATAAACACAATASTACACTACTACATTTAGAATGAAAGAAACGAGAAATCATACCAATTTTATCGATTTGCTTATCGTTGCTCATTTCAGTTGTCATTATGTGTGCGGAACCCGAGAATATACGCCGAATCATGCTAACAGCTGAGGAATTGAATATGGTCGACAGTGGCGAATATGTGTTCATTAATATTGAAATGTTTTCGCAGTAAGTAATTATACTAAATGAATTATGCATTAGAAAGTTAAATGTAAGAAAATATTAATGCGATCCAACTTAAAGTTAATTTTTTTTTTTTTTTTGTACCATAGTTGCTTAGAAAAAAATAAAAAAATATATATTTAAATTGAATATCMTGTCTTATTTAAGACAACTAAATCATTATTAGGCGCCTCAAGCGGAGACCAAAAATTTCCAGCTTCACGAGGTTTTTAATTTATCACCTAAATGACCTTAAAAAGTTCACGGCCTACCATAGTAAAAAACATTTTTTTGATGGTATTCGTTTTTTTGTTCAACTCTACAGTTCTCTTCAAGTGTGATACACTGATTATAGCGACCCTTCAACTTTTGATACCATTTTTGCAGTACGGTTTGTCCTTTGTCCGAGGACCTCATCATTCGACGAAAATTTATTTCCAGCAAGCATTGTTTTGAGATCTAAGAAGAGGAAATAGGCTCTGGACAAAAGGGTCTGACATTTATTTCGTCACTTACTGCTAAATTTAACTACCTCTTAAGTCATTCCAACAACTTATTCAGGAACATATCATAAACGCTTTAATGGTATCCGACTCTATAGCCTCTAGCTTCCTGAACACAAAACTTTATTTATTAGCAAGAAAATAAAACCGAGGAATTTCCAGTAAATTGTTTTGAAGCGGAAAGGAAAACTTACCCACTAAAGAACAAACCGCAACCCATAGGAACCATTGGTTGGAAGCCCCTCAATATGCTTTTCTGTGATGACAAATTTGTTAGTGTTTTTTTTTTTTTAATTTTTGTAAAGTTTTGTGTCGATGTACCCATAATCGCTTATTTATCGTAATATATCGATATTTTATACTAAATCTAAAATAACTGTTTCGTTGCTTTTTGGAATATTTGGAACGATTTAATAAGTATTGATATATTATATTTATAAGCGATAATTTTTGTAATTTTCCATTTTTTTCCTAATTTTTATGTCATTGCTTAGTTAATTTTCGAAAGTTTTTCAAATATCGCTAAAAAAAAATGTTGTGTCGATATACCCATATCGGATTACTAATTGTAAAATATCGGTATTCCATCTTAAATTTCCAATTACTGTTTCGTTGCTTTTTGGAATGTTTTATAAAATTCTATAAATATTAACATATTTATAATCGATATTTTTATAATTTATCAATAATTGGTTTCTATCGTTTTTTAACGGACGTTTTATTTTTCCATTACTAGAAATTATATGCCGCTCTAATGCTCTAAAAACACCTAAAGTATCAAGCAATACATTTTTCCTTTACAGAATATTAACAAGTAGGAAGGTCTCACTTTGGGTGTAACCGAACATTTTATACTCTCGTAACTTGCAAAGATCAAAGCCGTTGAAAATTCTTTTCGAATATCCATAATATGTGACCTGGTCACATACGGGAAGGTGGAGGGGGCTTAGGTGTCAAAAAATCAATTATCACTTTTGAGTTTTTTCACGTGATAGAAAAACTAGTTTTCGCACGTTAGCTCCCTTTTTGTAGACCAGGTCACATATATTATTATCTGACAAGTTGAGCGATATTTTTAGTAAAAGTTCGCATTAGGAACTKGCGTCCACATATTCGATAACTAATGGTTTGAATGGTTCTGGTATAAATAGAACAATTTTGGGTTATAAGGTGGCACACCACAAAGGCACTGTTCGTGCAAAGTCTTATCCGGATACGGATGAGAGAGTTGAGAGGTGAAATTTAAAAATCTGAAATTTTCCTGTATTTTTTTTTTATTATAGCGTGTATAGTTTAGGAGATACATACATATGTACAATAACTGTATTAGAGGAGCGCGCCATTCTTGCTAATGCAATAGCAATAATAAATAACGTGATATACGTTCTAAGTAAGCTTTCGTTAAATGGCGTTAATGGACGAGCAATAATGGTCTAATTCCGAAAAATTATTTCGCAGGAATGTCTCTTCATAACAGTAATCTACTTGCTTAGATCATTTTAATATTCAAAGCATGGTTTAATTACGTAAAGTAGGCATTTTTTGAGAAAACTTTGATTTGGTTACGTTCTTTAATATTCAAGACACACATCATCATTATATCTGATTTCATCGCAATTTACGCGAATTTCTCGCTGCTGAATATCAGATTTTTGATATTTCGTCTACTAGTATTGTAACATACTATTTCTCAGTTATGTTACACAAATATATTTGTTATTTTTTGAATTTTAAGTTTTTAAGATACAGGAATTTTTCTGGCTGACATACAAGTATTTATTATTGTCTATGACAGCAAAATGAGTCTAAATAAAGCACATGATCAATATATCGTCACCTGAAATGCAAAATAACGTATCATCAAAAAATTCGAAATTGAGTGTCTTATTGATTACGATTCACTACTTCAAATTACATACTACGTAATATTATATATGTTCGATATTTTCAAGTTTTGCGGTCAGATATAAACCAGTTTTAACCAATATTAAAATTTTGTTTCACCGATGTTACAATTTATTTCGTGTTTCATTCATGCCACTGTAAATTTCCGAAAATGTTGTAACGTTATTTTGCATTTCAGGTGACGACATGTACTTTTTATTGTCAAGCAGACATGTACTATATACTATATTGTATATAAATTGTAAAACGATTGGTATTTCTTGGGTAATGACTTTGAATTCGAATCTAATTGATAAGAAAGCAAAGTCATTAATAGTATGTTAACAATTTCCCTGTCTAATGTATCACATGTGATACAAAATTATTTTCTTGTACCATGTGTACAGCGTCCATGTATCATATATGAACAAATTTTTGGTTGATTTGAAATAAGTTTATTAAATGTATCACTGATGGTACATTGAGCGTATGCAATTCAACTTCGTAGTGACACGTTCGTGTATCATAGCTGATGCAAATTTTTTGTTACCGTTATATCGCTGTCAAGATGTGTGGGATAGTTCAAAAATTCACGGATAACCTCTAAAAACGCCTACAGCAATATAATTTCAAAAAKAAGTGTTGCACGTGTACCGTTAAAAATTAATTTTTGTATGGGGACAGGGAACCTGTTAAAGTTAGTTCAGACGAATGAGATCAATGATGAAGATTCGGTTAATTTAGACGTGATAGTCAATAAGACACTAAAGTTTATACTCTTATACAGCACAAGGTTCTCCATTAGGGATGATATGATTTGTAAGTGTCGTTTCGGCCATTTTTAATATGTCAGGATCTCTAATCTTTTTTTTTTTTTTCATTGTGTTCAGTAAAGTTTACAATTCATCATACTATACGCAAGAACAACGTCTATAAATTATTCAACTTTATTTTCAAAGTAATCGTTCTCCAATTGTAACTTTTGGTGCGCTTTTGACATTTTGTGGTCGTAATAATCGTCCACTTGTGCTCGCCATTCATCGAATTTTTGAAAATTTCTGGCGCACGTTTTCTTTAATGTTTAATGTTTCAATAATGTTCAAGTGCCGGTAAGACCAAGAACCGTTCGAAGTGATGAAAATATTGCTGACGTTCAGGCAAGTGTTGCTGAGGACCGCGATTTCCAGACGTTCTCAAGAATTGAAAATGTCTCAAAACACAACCGGACAGATTTTGAGAAAGGACTTGAATTTGCATCCATATAAAAATGTTACCTCCGAAAAACTGAAGCTATTGGACCACCGTAAACGTCGTGAATTTGCGTATTTTGCTTTGGAACAACTTAAAAACGACAACCATTTTTTTTTTTTTTAAGAAAAGCACATCGCCGATGAGGCTCAGTTTTATCTGAGTATGCAATAGAGAGCGGTATAGATCGATGATAACCAACTATTTATAACCGTAATTAGAAAAAGTTGATATTGACAACATCTGGTTCCAACAAGACGGCGCTACGTATCACACAGCACGTGCAACAACCGAGTTATTGCCAAGAAAGTTGAGGTATGCGATTATTTCAAGAAATTGTGACATTGAATGGCCTCGAAGAAGTTCTGATGTAACACCGTTAGACTACCGCTTGTGGGGTCATTTGAATTTGTTCGTCTTTAGCAATAAACCAAACTCTCTTTAAGCTTTAGAAGTCTAGTCTGAACTTGATATTTAAGATATACATACGACTTGATTAATTGGAAAAAAAATACTTAAAATAGGGTTCATCGAATTCGTTCCTGCAAAAAAACAAAAACGTGAAGGCCATTTGAATGATCTTACTTTCAGAATTGTATCGGTTGTACTACACATTGAATAAAAAAATTTGAATTTCCCTTGTTAGTGTGTTTTTTGTTTTTTTAATAAATCCGATCACTCTTATTTGAAACCCCCTTATAATTATATAAACAAGATTGTGTACTTATTACAATTGTGTGTAGTATTTTAAAATATTAATTTTTAACAGCTGTCTTCGTTTCACAAMAAAAAAAAAATATAATTAAATTTCATAGTTAATAATAATATCTTTACTCTATCATTGAAGCGCTTCACACATCGCTTGGAGGCCTTGGTATGACAAAAACGATACGACCGAAAATAACGAACGCGCACGTAAGGCATATACCGCTATACTGACTTTAACGCCAAAACAACCAGATGATGAGGCATACACTACAGTTTCAAATAAGGTAAACTTGCTTAGCCCTATCCAAAAATTACATAACTAAATAACAATACTTTTAATTTTGTTAGATCAAAACCATCGCCACGGAGAARTATAATTACACATTCCAGGAAAATGAGGAAGTGTCGTCCTTTGTAATATCCTTTTTCGATGGCGTATTGCTCTATGCCAAAGCGCTTAATGACAGTATTCGTGAGGATCCGACAGTGCTGACACGCCCTATAAATGGCACCGATATGGTACGACGTATGTGGGGACGCAGTTTCAAAGGTATTACCGGTAATGTCACTATCGATAACAACGGCGATCGTATCTCAGCATATTCTTTACTGGACATGAATCCGCATACGGGTAGTTTTGAAATTGTTGCCGATTTCATACACAACCGCTTGGACTTTGTGCCCGGCCAGGAAATACACTGGGCTGGTGGTCGCAAAGAACCACCACCTAGTACGCCGATTTGTGGTTACGATGGCTCACTGTGTCCAGATAATTGTAAGTATAGTTGATTTGAATGGTAGTAAATAGTTTGCCGATAATAATTTTCAAATCTTTTGTCTCTACAGCATTACCCGGTTATGCAATACTCTCGATCATACTCGGCGTCGTAGTTGTGCTGATGACCGTCGGTTTYTTCTTCGGTTATCGGCACTATAAATCAGAGGCGGAAATAAATTCCATGACATGGAAAGTTTCACTTAGTGATTTAGTTTGTCCGGATTTGGGTGGTCGCGGTATACGCGGCTCCTTTCACTCACTCGTACGGCATAGCTCGCAATTGACACTCATGTCCGAGGACTTGCGTTCGCTGTGCGGTGATCGTCAAATCTTCATACCAGTCGGTATGTATCGTGGCTGTGAAGTAGCTATTAAGGCGATCGAAAATCGTCAAATCAATTTGACACGTTCGCTTATGTTGGAACTAAAAAGTATGAAGGATCTGCAGCATGATCATTTGGTGAAATTCTATGGCGCATGCTTGGATCCACCGAAGCGTTTCCTACTCACCGAATACTGTCCGAAGGGCTCACTGCAGGACATTCTGGAGAATGAACAATTCCAGCTGGACTGGATGATTAAATTATCGTTAATGCATGATATTGTGCGCGGCATGCATTTTTTACACAACTCGGTTATACGTTCGCATGGCAATTTGAAATCGTCCAATTGTGTGGTGGATTCCAGGTTCGTTTTAAAAATCACCGATTTTGGTTTGCATACGCTAAAGCGGGAACGACCAGAGGCGGTGGAAAACGATGTGGAGGACTGCAATAGTCATGCGTATTGGAGTAGTAAGTATATGAATCGCCATTATTATCCAATTAGGCTTCTTATATATGTAGTAAGGATTCTCATAAAACAAGAGATTACATTAACTTTCTTACAATAACTAGATAACTAGAACAATAGTGATGCGATCTGAATAATAAATTCGGCAATTGAAGCGTTACTTTGAACAGTAATATTTGCGGTATTTAGTGAAGATGAAGAATATGAAATAAACAAATTTTCAKATAGTGACAGGGATTTCGATCAATCAGTTTTTATGACAGCTATACGTTATAGTAGTCTGATATTGGTGATTCCGACAAATAATCCGTTGATTGAGGAGAAGATGACGTGTGCAAAATTTCAGATCGATATCACGAAAACTGTGAACTCAATAACGCGTGTATACAGAAAGACGAACAGAGGACATAACTAAAGAGATAGCATCGAATATAATTTTAGAATTACAGAAGCAGTCCATTAGCACACATCCGTCTGTTGATTCGCCCATCCTTAAACAAAATATATAACTCAAAAAATTTCAATATTAAATCTGTCTTCCGTCGTGTAACTGTAGAATTTTCAATATTTTTTTTTTTCAAAAAGTTAAACATCTAAAATTTTTTATCAAAGGATTAGTATAATCTTACGTTATCGGACCAAGAATTTTATATTTCTTTGTTAATATTGAGTTAAAATGTTTGTCAATATTATTTCACTTTCTTACAGAACTATTTTGGACAGCGCCAGAATTGTTGAAAATTGGCAATGATCGTCCGCCAGAGGGTACACAAAAGGGGGACGTTTATTCCTTTGGCATAATCGTACATGAAATCAGYACAAGACAAGGTCCATTTTACCTAGGCAAGACTGAAATAGAAAAATCACCTAAAGGTAAGTTTGAAAAAATACAAAACTTCCATAATACAGGTGACGGATCATTATTGTCCGAACGGTTACATATGTAATTTTTAGCAAATATGTCCTATATCGACGAACTATTGCAAGAATAAAAAAATACCTTGACTTTCTTGACACATAAAATCTTAGACCAAATACTTTGTATCCTGAATGTGTACTCACAAGCCTTTGGGATATATGGTATTATTATGAGAATTATAATGGTATCTTTCTTATGTGGGTAAGTAGGAGTGCTGCCACTAAGCTCTCAATTAGCGCTGAATGCGCCATTTTGCACTATCGCACCTTATAATCTTACTATTCCGTTTCATTGTAGCGCTCAAACCATATGTTGGTCTCAATCAAACTGCTTATATCCGTTATGATTTTTGTAGACAATTATTGAAGGCTTGGTGCCTGATGGGCTCCTAAGTTATTGTATCGGGTTTGTGGTTTGTAATAGAGCTGAATATTCGTAGAGAAAGTGGAAAACCTTTTACCTATGATATTTTTCAACTTATATAGTAGGATATTGGTTTTATTTATGTCTTATTTGTGTCAAAGCTGATTTGATATCTTGTAGCTTGTTGTTGTGTTCCATCTACGCTGAGCGGTTTGTTCAATGATCGTTCCTAGCGGGCATGGTATTGGCGCCAGCTCGGTTTCGTCTAAAGAGGCTCCTAGCTTGGCCAACTAATCTAACTTTTCGTTACCGAAAATGTTCCTRTGGTCTGTAACGCGAATTATGGACAAGTGGAATTGTCCTGGCAGTAAGCTTAAACTCTTCCTTCATTTGTTGACTACGTCGGAATCAATCAGTGATTTCGCCAAGTAATGCTTCATGGCTTAATACTTTCTGTATTCTTCTGTAGTTATTCAAAAAACCTTAACAGCCCTTCTCTATACATAGCACTTCGACTTAGACGTTGCTTCCTGAGTTTGGTAAAGATGTCGAGATCAATGAAGCATAACACCGCACCTACTCCGCAGCTCATTTTCAGCCCGTCAGTATAGATAGTTAGCAGCCTTCTCTCTTACTGTACCTATTTTTCATTCATTGAAATCTAACCTAGAGAGAATATAGTCTGATTTAGTTATGTTTGCTGGTTCAGGATGGCACTGTGCGGCATATAGGGTAACCTTCGTCRGGCACTTCTGATAATTTTACTGATGGTAGAAAAAAACATTCCTGATACCAACAACTTGCTATTTCTTTCACTCCTCCTCCTTCATTAAGGCGAGGTAGTATTCCATTCCACGCCCCACCCGTAAGATCGGGAAAAGAACACCTCCTTGAAGAGTGCCTCTGTTTGCATGCTTCCTCTAGCCAGTTTTAGTAAGAACACCAACACTTAGACTCTTTTCCAGTTTCTCTGTATGTAGGAAAGTTGGATGCTGTTCTTAAATAACTCTTCTAGCTTTGGAAGCATGAGGYTTCGGCATCATTATGGGTATAATCCCATCCGTGTCCACCGTTTTCAATGGCAAAAAACAAATATCTTCTTACTTACTATGCAGCTGGAGGTGTCTTTCTTAATCCGCAAACTATTTTCATTTTTTTTTTAGATTTACCGCTAGATTCAACCTCGTCGTTAATAATGAATCATATTTATTTTAATCAAAATCGTTTCATTCCTCTGTTTCTGATATACATTTTTCATTTTCATGGATTCAAACTTTACGTTCAAGAGTTGTATTTTCTGATTCCGTTTTCAACAGTTTTCGTTCCACCGTCCGTTGCATGATCGTTTCTAAATGATCGACTTCGTCACCGGTTTTTTGCACTTTCCAAAGCAAATAACCGCGTTCAATGAGTGTTGCTTTCGTTTTGCTCGGCGGTGTATTGTTTGTCTGGGGTATAAATTTACCTTTAAAGTGTTTAATTATACACGTCAGCACAAACATATGCAAATGCTTACCTTCTAGCGAGCATCGTCGAGGACTGGTCTGTTCCATCTGCTCAAATGAACCTCTTACCGAYTCATTCGACTCTTTTTCTTGCGTTTGACATACTTCCCAGTCTTCCATCAGTTTACTCTTCACAGACAATACCGGATTGTCTGCACTTAAGTCATAGGAATCTTTACGGGAAGCACCACTCTCAAGACGTTGCTTTTTAGGCGTCTGTTGTAAATTAGCATTTGTTCCTGGTTTCTGCTCAACTTTTGTTGTAGTTTGCAGTTGTTGTGTAGTTTTTTGCGTTGGATTGTCATCGAGAAACRTATAGTCTGTTGGTGGTTGAGACAAATGCGGCTGGTAGAATGTATATTGCAGTTTTGCCGTTGAAAATTTCGAATTTTGGGTATTAGTTTTACTTTCCTCATTGGCTTTTTCACTTMTATCACTTGATGCCGTTAGCTGTTGCTTCGACATTATCGAATTTGGTATCCGTATAGTTTGCGTTAATCCGAAAAGTGGTGGGTTTTTGGCGAAACTACTTCGTTGTTTATATTTCGAAACTTAAAATTTKTATTAAACAATTAGTTTATTGCATTTTAAATTGACGAAAAAGAATTCCAAACATATTGACAATAAAAAATTGCACCACAAAAATCTATAATATCGTATGAATCGATACATTCAAATATTTCAACGAAAGTTTGATAAACATAGTATTCGGTTAGTGTTGGAAAAAATTAACTTTTCGGTTCAAAACGAGGAGAATAGTCGTTCACGACAATTTCTATTCACAGCAAAATCGATCCATTTCTAAAGACATAAAAAGTAACCATCACTGGTRATAAAAAGTACTCCACTTACGACAAGTGAAAACGGTGGTGATCRAAGCGGGTGAGCATGCGCAAATGGCGGCCCTGCCAGGATTGATATTAAGAAGCTTGTTAAAAACGACTCTTTTTCTCTCAATTTTTTGTTTCTATCGGTGTGATATTGTGAAATTACCTTCAAAATCTTCATCTTTACTGGCGTAGACACCGCTTACGCACGCCAGTCGTTTCTACTTTTCACAATTTGGCACCAAYTAGCGATACTAAGTGCAGCCAGGTCCTTTTACACCTGATCTCTACAACGRAGTGTATGTCGACCACTTCCTCTGCTTGCCCCGGCGGGGGAATTGCCTACTCAGTCCGAGTAGCACTTGTTGGCAAGAGTGGATTTCGAGGCTGGCATTGTTGTTGCTAYTAATACTGGTTACAAGATAGACGAAATTATCTAGGACTTCGAAGTTATGACCACTTGCTTCACTTCCTTATCTTGARCTTTATGTAGAATAATMGTTTCTGKCCACTCCCAAGTGAATGGCAATCAGAGAACTTTCCTCACTTGCGTGCACTTCATCCGCGAGGCATCACAAAAAAGAAGAAAAAAGTAACAAAAAACAGCGCTTGTTCGTGAGAAACACCAATCCTTTTATTTAAATTTTACAACAACTAAAACTCAAAATCTCTATTAATTACGAGTAATACAATTTTTTTTCTATATTAGTCAAAAAAATTTCAGGTGTTGTTTCGATCTTGGTTTCAGTAAACTTTAAATGCACACTTCTTTATCCTTTCCATTTCGCTAACCAAGAGCGTAGTCGGTGACACCAAAGTGAGCATTGGCCGGAGCAACTTTGTGCGGCTTGCTGTTTCAATTTACGCAGCTCGGCACGTTTTTGACGTCGACGRTATACCTCGTGACGACGTTCAAGCTCAGACAACCAAGCGATGCGTGATTCCTCCCAACATTGTAGTTTATAATTTAGTCCACGAGCGCCACCAAAAATAATATCCTCATCCGATGACTTCTTAACGAGTTGTGCTGAAGTTCAAGAGTTAGCATAAGTAAATGGATGTAATCGTAGTTTAAATATGTAGATAAGTTTAACGGAACGTACCATCATCGAAAAATGCAATGAACCGCAAAGGTTTTCCTTCGCCAACATCAAAAGTTTCGCGTGCTTTTCTTCTTTTTTGCTTGAATCTCGCATAAAGCAGAAGTGAATCTATATGACTTAGCGCCGGTTGATACGAGTAATCCATAAAATTATTTGTGGGTAACACTTCAAATATTGGCACCGATTCACAGTAATCGGGTACGTACGAATCGAGGGATATAGTCAGCCGAGCTAACAACGAAATTAAGTTCGCTGAGTTAATGAAGTTATGTGTAGCTGCTTTAAGCGCACTTACAGTTATCAGAGGAAAACACTGGTTCAAGTCGTGACTCTACTATATTTTCTGYCTCATATCGGTAACACGGGTTATGAAACAAGCATGATTCTTTGGTTTCCAAATGTTTTTCATTATCGCTAACTAAACTATCGGCTATGCTCTGCGGTGCAGTTTTATACGCTTCCGATAACGTAGCCGCATCGTCGGTTTCTCGCAACGTACTCGGCTCTACTACAAGCTCATTGTTTGGTTCTGTGTAATATTGTGAGGAATGCGGTACTAAGAATCCTTTGCGATGACAGGTCGAACAAACACTTTGCGTAGATGTGTCCTCAGTCGATGCAWAAGCCTCTCTCGTCTTCCACGCCGCTTTAGCAATTTCATTATATCTGCATTCCTCCTCGCCACTGATCAGACGTGAATTTTGTACATTTGAAGGATACTCTGGCAGATTGTATGACGTACGCCCTAAGGCACATTGACTACAGGGCAAAACCGAAGTGATGGAATGAAATGAGCTTTGCGGCAAGTAAACTATTTGATCTAAACGACTTAGTGGATCGCGTACAAAGCTCAACGGGCTGTCGTACAGTAGTGCCGGCTTAAGCGGATACTGTTCATATAGAAATTGTGGTCTTTCATGTTTCGGTTTGTTAAAGCCCATACAAGCGGCTTGTGTTGGTAGCTCTGTTGCTTGTGGCGTGTATATTGCGCCCGTTGGCACTTCAAACTCTTTTGTGTTAGGATTTAGTGCACAAATATTTAACACTCTGGGTTTTGGTATCACTACAAATCTCTGCAACTCTTGACAATGCGTTCTTTGCGCCAGCAGCGATGTGCTACTTGCAGCTGTGGTACAGKTATCTGCATCGTCTTTATTAGTAAGCGTAATCGTGCTCGTACGATCATTAGTGATTAGTTGGGATTTTTTCTCCTCTATTTTGTAGGAARTGCTACTCTTTTCCAATTTACATTTTGACATGTCATCTACAAATTCCCGCAACTTTTTTGCTTAATGCTTTTAAACAATAAAGGAGTATTAGGCGATTACAGAGATGACCTTGTAGTGTTWGCGACGCTTTCAATTGTTGTATATTTCTCAGAGACGAGATAACATTTTCTTTGTATTTATTGCTCTAGTTTGCCGAGTTGATAGTCCTCACGATTTCAAAATAAATTTTAAAATAAATGTAACAAAATATTTACTTCATATTTTTCACAAATTTAAAAAAAAAATTATGTCAGAAAAATTGATAATGAATGCGTGTACGAATGTAAAAATTACATTAGGTTCGAAAAATCTATATATCTTAACCTTTGGGCAGCGCAGCGGAGTGAACTTCAAATTTTATAATGTGGAGCCATCATCGTTCTCATGTTCAAGTCAAATGAAATCCGAAATGGTTCTGTGATTTAGGAAACACCATTTCATTGCAATGATAATACCAGTTTTCGAAAAGGCTGACCTAATATGACAATTCTGCTTCTTTGCATACCCACTGAGTCAGAATTGCGCATCATCGCTGAACCAATTTTGGCTCGAAAATGTTGGATCTTCTTGGAACTTTTCAAGAGCGAAGCGATATTGCTTGGAAAGKTCGAGTGACTTCAGTTCTTGCCTGAGCTGTTTCTAGTACGCTTTCAATTTAAGGTCTCGAAGTAAAATGCGACAAGTCGTTCCATACGACAGTTCGAGTTTCTGCAAACGGCGCCGAAACGACTGTCCACGGTCTTCGTGTACACTCTCAACCACGGCTGCTATATTTTCTTCACTAAGTGCTRGACGTTGTCTAGTGAGCTCTTCAAACTCAGAACGGTTAGTTTTGCCSTAGTTGTAGTGGCTCTAACTCAATGGGTTAATGTCTTTTCGGTGTACACGCGGTAAGCTTTCAACTTGTAGAAGCTATTTGGTGTAAAACGAGGTAGATATTTGGAAGGTCACACTTTCAGATGATCCGTTTAGCTGGTGGCATTAGCAATAAAAAGTCAAAGAAGATTTGTATTGGCCTCAAGGCGCTTCTGACTTCACAGTGAACTATTTACAATAGTCCAAGCTTGATTCTGGTCTACAGAAGTAGCCATTGAACCTAAGCTTAACCCTAACCCAAGCCCTGAATAAAATCAGAAGAGCTAATAACTTTTAAAGACAAAAGATTCAAGATACTTAACTAATCTAGATAATACTAATATTCTTGCAATAATTTTCGTTCCTTTTTCAGAAATTATTCAACTAGTCAAAGCTTATCCGGAACACATATCTTCGCCATTTCGTCCGTATATCGATGAGCATGATGGATATCTTGATATTAACAACCTCATGATCAAGTGCTGGGCTGAGGATCCGCTTGAACGTCCCGACTTCAATGCACTCAAATCAATCATACGTCGAATCAATAAGTATGTTCACACTTAAAACATATGTTGAAGATTTCAATTATAAAAATATAAACATTTTTTTCATACAGAGATAACGAGACCGGAAACATTGTGGATAACCTGCTTAAACGCATGGAACTCTATGCCAATAATCTGGAGGAGCTTGTCGAGGAGCGTACACAAGACTACATTGAGGAGAAGAAGAAATGCGAAAAGCTGCTGTATCAGCTACTACCGCAGAGCGTTGCAGCGCAGCTTATTAGCGGACAACCGGTGGTGGCCGAAACTTTCGATCAGGTCACCATCTACTTTAGTGATATTGTTGGTTTCACCGCCATCTCAGCTGAGAGCACACCCATGCAGGTGGTGCAATTTCTCAACGATCTCTACACCTGTTTCGATTCCATTGTAGAGAATTTTGATGTCTACAAAGTGGAAACGATAGGTGATGCCTATATGGTTGTCTCCGGCCTGCCAATACGTAATGGTAATCAGCATGCACGTGAAATTGCACGTTTAGCACTGGCGCTACTTGGCGCCGTACATAAATTTAGAATACACCACCGACCGCAAGATCAACTAAAGCTACGTATTGGCTTGCACACAGGCGCTTGTGTGGCTGGCGTTGTGGGTCTAAAGATGCCGCGCTATTGTCTCTTCGGCGATACGGTAAATACGGCGTCACGCATGGAATCGAATGGCGAAGCGCTACGCATACACATTAGTCAAAATACCAAATTGGCATTAGACGAGTTTGGCACATTCATAACCACACAACGTGGTTATGTACCCATGAAGGGTAAAGGTGAAATGCTCACATATTGGCTCGAGGGTGAAGTACCAAAACCGGAGTCACCTTCAGTGCCGSCACAACAGTTGCTGCACGGYCGGCGTTCTTCACTCAAACATCCGCCGCAACGTTAYAGTGTTATGTTGCAAAAGCAACATTCCGAGATCTCAGAGGGTGAGCCATTAACGCCAGCGACAATTGTCGAACACAGCAGCGTACCGAAAACGCCGACTTTGCGTGTGAAGCGCAAAATCTCATCATCATCACCAAAATTGAGTGACAACGAATTTAAACCGGACGATTTCAATTACTATCTTGAAAATGTCAAACAACAACAAGACAAAGAGCATATAGTGGCGATGGGTAAGCTAAAAAATGGGCTCAACGGCGACATTTACAGCAGCCGTTCGCTGCGTGAGCCGCGTAAAGATGCCAACAACGAGTTGGCCAATCTACGTTTACCGTTATCTGGTGCACTGAAAAATCACAATAACAATTTAGCGAATAACCAGCGTACCAGCTTTGCACATCTATTGCAATCCAACTCGAATTCCAATCTAAGCGGTATTCTACATCCGACAACACCGGCATTGGCACGCGTACGCCCGAGGCTATCACCAAGCATTTCCCCATTGGTATCCAGTGAACGTGCCGACAATGATCACTTACAAAATGGTCAACGCATCAAATTCCAAATAGGCATTAARGATGACGAACAACAAGATAGCGGTATAAATGGCAGATCTGAGCCAAATACTTCAGCACAACTTTTACCTCGACGCCCATCATTTGATGAATCATATAGGGAATCAAATATTTATAAGCCTGATGGCGTTGATGATGACGAAGACGACATTGATTTGCCATTAAATCACCAGTTGAATAGTAGTAAAGCACGCTTGTTGGAGGGCGAAAATCTAAATAGCGTGGYATTTACTAAAAATGGTTGTGATAGTGTATGTAAAAGCAACAATAATAGCTACAATAACATTGTAAAAGCAAATAATGCAAAGAATTTGCATCTTATTAGCAAAACTGTCCCGCCAATGGATAATCACGTGGTCGTAGGTGCTGCAGACGCAACAAATACGGGTGCCAGCGTAGTGGGTAATGCTGTAACTGTGGCTACACCTCCGGCAGGGAGTGTGGCGCAACCGTTATTGGGAAAAATCAATTCATAATTTGGTATAAATCATTATTTCAGCAACGAATTTCACAACTGCAGAGCARACATGCAATTGTATTGCAACTCATGTTCACTAAGTGGACGCCTACATGTACATATGTATGTATAATTAATGCAAAAACCACAAACATGGTACAGGAGGCAATTTGAAACTGATTTCAGGTTTATAAGTAAGTGGAAATRTGATCACAAATTTCTCATAAATAAAGGAAATTTAAACTCTTGTTTGCATTAAAATGCTTGAATATAATTTGGCTGAGGCGCGGAGCAATTGAAAATATTTGCACATGTAAACTAATATTACAGAAATTCTTGTACTCAGTGCTATTTCAAACAAAAAAACTAAATATTCACTCGTATTTAAAAACTAGTTTTAAAAATAATTTAACGTTTATTAGGTTTTCAAATTACAGTTGTATAGTGTTATGTAATATGCCAACAGCATAGTACGACAAATGTAGCAAAAATAATATATTAAAAATGTTAGATTTTAAACACAAACATAATTTCATCACAAATATCGACCATCACAAATAGTTTGTAAGTTAAATTCTTTGTTTATATACTAAACTTTACAGTATATAAAAAAATATAGCGTATGTTTTAAAATCATCTATATCCAGTGGCTGTTCTCAAAAAATTTTAACAAATAATTGTAGTAATATCTTGAAAATATATTTACATTTTAAGTTGTATTTATTTTTTTACTTAATTATTGTCTAGTATATTACATTTAGAAACACATGTTTATATATACATGTATATGATACGTATAAATATATTTGAAATATTGTAAGAAAGTGTAGTTGAAAAAATAAAGCATCAAACAAATTCTTTTCAATATCAAACTGATTATTTAATTTCCAATTTATGGCAGGACTAAGTACTACTAATGCACCTATATATTTGTACCTTTCATACTCAAATGCATTATAACACGATTTTGCGTTGCTTATGATATACTACATATTTACTTGTAAATCTACTACTTACATTGCGCTGCAATTAAGAAACCGGTGAACATATTAAGGTACGCTATGTAAATTTGCTTTATAGTATCTTCGCAACACATAGCAAAACTTTAAATACTTGAAACGAACACACTTAACACATTTTCACAACATAAAACTTATTTGTGCACTTTATACGCCTTGAAAAAGTGGATTTGCTCTTATTTCTTTACMATTTTGTGAAACATATACATTTACTTCGACTATGCAGCCACAACCACTTTTCCCCGTTTTACATTTTTCTTACAACACAYACATATAGAAGACACACGATTATTTAAATACACGCATATTTAWTTTAACTCTTAATATCCGCGAATTTTTGATTTATTTGCTGAACTACTATTAATTCCGCATAAATATTATTCCATTAATCAAATTGGCTTCAACAAAAAGAAACAACCGCGACACRAAAGAAAATGGTTTCCTTTTCCGTTAGTTTTACATATGTTCAGTTTGGGTAGGGTAACTCAGATTGACAAGAAAACCGAATTAACAGGGTGCTCAGTAGCCGATATACAAATATATAAATATGCGTTGAACCAAAAAACTCGTTAAATATGTCACAAATTGAAAAATAACTTTTTGATTTAATAATAATAAATAATTAATTTTTTTTATACTGTGATACACTTACCTACTTAGCAACTATTACTGCATATTAATCTTATAATATCTCTACCGATTTAAATCTCTGCAATGGCAGTTACACATCTCTAATAGTAAAAATTTGACAATTGACTCCTGTCAGCTGTGCAGCAAAGAAAATTGGGGAGGAATTTATATCTTTAATTAAAACAGCCAAGTTATTGTTTAAGCAGAAATTTTAACGTTTGTTATTACAAAACTAAAAACAATATATTAATAATAGGGAATGCAACGTTATGTACTACAAGTGTTGTAATTTTAATATATAAAATCGGTGAAGTGCTAATCGCTATAAAATAATCTCTGGCGCAGAGTAATTTGAAAGTCATTCCGAAAAGTAAAATTTGAAGTGCGTAAAAACAAAAATTGCATAATTAAAATTACAGCAGCGAGAAATTATTAAATAATCTTTACAGTGTTGTTGCAGGCACGTAAAAATGGTTTAGATTAAAAACGGAGGGTGTACAAAATCGGAAGTAATACTTTGTCCAGTTTGAAGCAACTAGGAAATAATCAACTTATAAGTATGTACTTGTTTTTGCTTTAGCTTCCACAAGTTTTGAAAATAAACAACCACTTATAACCACAAATAGAAAAATTGAACGTATTTATATATAAGAATAGCAAAAAACACRTATTTAAAAACATTTTACAACAAATTTGTATTTGTATTGCTGTTGTTTTACGTTAAACTTCGATGGAAATAAAATCTAACAATTGTTTGTTTGTTTGCGGCTTCTATTAAAAATTGTCTGGGCAGGCGTATTTCACAAAACTCATGTAGATCAAAATTAGACTTGCTAATTAAGTACATATTCCCATTTCGCATTTCGTGTATGAAATTTTAATTAAATCAAGAAATTATCTATTGGTTATTCATTTCGTGTATGATCTGATAAGCAATTATCGCATTAAGTAATGTATGTTATAATTTATATAAGTAGAAAAAAAGTTAAATTTTGTGCACAGAAATTTAATACTCTTTATAAATACAAAAGTTTCCAAATGGACACATAGTCGAAGTTGGCTAAATTGAAACAGTTCGTAACGCTGATCATTTATTTATATATTTTATGGGGTCTCCGACGCTTTTTTCCTCGCCGTKACAAACTTTGTGTCAAACTTAACATATATAATGGTGTAAGTGATTGGCGTGAATTCAAAAACTTTAGATATCCTAACTAATTACAAAACTAAAAGTCATCGTCAACGCCCATGTAACCGTGTCATTTTTGCAAACTAAATATTTCCTATCTAACAAACTAAATATTTGATGTCTTGTAATTTAAGCTTAGCTGCTTTAGCAATAATTTAGTCCAATCACAATTCCCCGTATATTTTTTCTTATCAATTTGACGTCCGTCAAAGCGCTCGACGACAATTATATCTACACACGTCTTTGTATATAAATACACACTGCACCAATTATGTGTAATATGTACTAATTTATTTATGATATTTATAAAAAAGAGAGCATTGTACTATTTTCACACATACTTTCAGCATCAAAGTAAAACAAAATCAAGAAAAAACAAAATGCTCTACTGTCCACCAAATGTAACATTTTCGCAAATTTGGATAAATAATGGCATATCACATTGTTTTATGGACACAATTGGCAATGGGGTGGCAAGTGGTTTTATGCTGCTCATGGGCACAGTACAACTACTAATGTATCGCAAATATGCCACACGCAATGATCCGACGCATATCACCAAATCGCGCTTATACGCTTTGCAGCTCTTTCTATTATTCTTCTTTCCTATATTGGCATTAGTAAGATTCCTCTTAAATGCACGTGTTTACCCGGATCATGCAGTTTATGGATATATGGTGAGTTTTGTGAATAAAATTTTTATTTTTTTATTATATATTTGTATAAATTTCGCTCTTTTATTTTTTAGATACTCTCAACTGTACTTATTTGCATATCATATCCTTTCTCAGTTTGTGTTATATTAAAGGAACGTTTCTATCAGCTGCCATCACTACCGACGCGAGGTCACGGCCTCATATTATTACTATTTTGGACTTTGGGTTTTATTAATGAATCATTGGCATTCATAAATCTGCGTCATGAAGATTGGTGGTTCACACTCAAAACGTTAGTACTGAAGATAGAACAATATTTATTTATTATGCAAATTAATTTATGAAATAACTGTATATATTCTAAATTAGTTGATAACATTTAAGTTTGGAAATTGCCTTATGAATTTTACTTTAAATTGTAATATAAACTAAAGTCAGTGGCATATAAACTCCACATTATATTCTTATAAGCTTTAAATATGTATATACGCTAATGGGTAAAATCTTTTATAGTAGAAGTATACCGAAGTTTCCCGCTTTTACTTAATTGATATTTCATTCCTTTCTGTTTTCTTTTTACAGTAATAAAGATCAAGTGGAAATGGCTTTATTCGTTACGCGCTTTATAACCTCACTATTGATTTTCATATTGGGTCTTAAGGCACCTGGTATTATGCGACCTTATGTGCATCTCGATGAACCATCCAACGCGAGCAACAATAATACACAACAGGGTTCCGCTTTTCGTAATGCTTTTAAGAAATTGGCTAAACTATTTCCCTACATGTGGCCTAAAAAAGACGTGATGTTACAATTATCTGTTGTTGTCTGTGTACTATTGCTAATTGCTGGACGTGTTATCAAACTATTTTTGCCAATCTATCGCAAAAAGCTGGGTATGTCATATACAATAAWCTTATATAATTAAACTTCTTAATAAACATATCTCCCGATTGTAGTGGATAGCCTCACCATACCGCCTATACTCTTCCGTTGGGATTTCGTACTTGTCTATGTTGCATTATCCTTTGTACAAGGCGGTGGCACCGGCACTATGGGACTTTTCAATAATTTACGTTCTTTCCTCTGGATACGCGTGCAACAGTATACAACGAGAGAAATTGAAGTCGATCTATTCAGTCATTTGCATCAGCTCTCACTGCGTTGGCATCTACAACGCAAAACTGGCGAAGTTTTACGTGTTATGGATCGTGGCACAGACTCCATTAATAATTTATTAAACTACATTATCTTTTCGATTACGCCCACTATTGTCGATTTGCTTGTAGCTGTGGTTTTCTTCATCTATGCTTTCAATTGGTGGTTTGGACTGATTGTGTTTCTCACAATGTTTTTGTATATTTGTAAGTAATGATGAAAAAAACATGAAAAAACGTTAACTTTGGCTGCGCCGAAGCTGTAATACCCTTCACAGCAAATTTTTTTGTAGAATGAACAAGTATAGCAGGTATTTTTCAGACCTTTATCGCAATTTTGTTCGGTCAGTTTCAATGGCAGCTAAATATATGCTATAATGATCYGATCTGAACTATATATCAGGAGATTGTACCGTTATGTTGGATAATAATGCATRCCAAATTTTGTAAAGATATATCTTCAAATGAAAAGGTTCCAATATAAAGACTGTATTTTTGGTCGATCAGTTTGTATGGCAGCTATGCAGAATATGCTATAATTATACAATCTGAGCAGTTTGCTCGGAAATTGTAGCGATAACTTGCATAAATTTCAGGTKTATGCCAAGTTTCGAGAAGATAGCTTCTAAAAAAAAACAACAGGGACTTGAGTTTGATCCATCAGGTTGTATGACAGTTATATGCTATAGTTGTTCGATAGAAGAGCTGCTGCGTATTGTTTAAAAAAGTACGTTTAAAAAACTTCAGATCTACTGCTCAAAAACGGRGAGACTAATTCGCGTATATAAAAACGGACAGACAGACGGACATAACTAATCACCGCAGCTCGTCAGGTCTTGCGGTATTTTCGTTAGTTGGCGCTGAGAGCGCGTAGTTCTATTTTTATTCGTCACATCGGGTCATGCTATACCTTTCTGGAAAGCTCATTTCACGCGCTAACACGTTTGATTGAGTGTCGTCTTTTTTAAGTCGTTCGTGAGTTATAGCGTC